CTCAGTGCATGACATTCGTGCACTGGGTATGGGAAAGAATTCAGCCGGGCCAGAGCCCTCTCACAGTCCAGGATCCCTCAGGGGCTGTACACCTGCCAGCTTAAGCCCACTCTGCAGGTAGTAGGCCTAAGCCGGCAGGTGGACATCCCTCGAGAGGTCCTTAGTGCTGCTGCAGAGACAGGAGAGGCTCCCACCACCTGTGCTCACCAGCCAGAAACCGGCTCACTGCTCTTTAGTGCTGCCTCAGAGGTGGAAGAGGCTCCTGCCACTGCACCAGCCATGAGCCTGGCTTCTGGATGACCAATAGGGGCGCACTGATCTCCCAAAAGAAGCTCCTGAGTTGAGCTCCTGCCCCCTGGTGGTCAGTACATGTCATAGCGACTGGTCGTTCTGCTGTCTGGCCAATTTGCAAATAAGGGTTTTATTATATAGGATAAAGCGCTAATATTAATTTATGGAAGAGTTTTAAAGTATAATATTCAGTACTCCAAGAAGGAATGTTAGCTTAAATTCCTTAAAGTTGTTTTAAAGTTCCATTTCAGAAAGATTGCAATATTGTAAAAAATTACAATTTTCTTATTGATTAGGATTCTCTTAAAGCCAAATATCTAAATAATTTAAAGGTTCATTTTTGTAACATATTGCACATTGAGCATTTTGCCCCAAATAATTTCAATAACCCCAAACTGAGACACACTAACTTCTGATGAAGTTCGTCGGTACGCTTCTCCTCTTCTCCCTCCTCATAAAATAGCACAGATGCAAGACCATTCTAATTCCTATAGTAACCTGTCACTATTATTGAATCGTATTAAAATGAATCCTATTTCTATAATTCAAAAGCCAAAGTTAATTATTCAAGAGTTGCAGACAAGCCAGTATGAACGCTGCTTTTAATTTTTTCATATAACTCGTGGCTCTATTTAATTAAGTTCCTTTTCTAACAATATCACCATTTCCTTCACTGTTTCATTCCTAGTCTAAAGTCCAATAAGCACTACAATTATAAAAATAAAAAAATATAAAGAATCAAAAAGACAGTCATAAAGGAGAGAGGGCAAAGTTATTTCCTGAAACGGAAACTTTAAATCTGGCATGCAGTCCCAAGTCAGCACTCTTAGTAAGCCATTTTCCCTTCTTTTTTTAGCAAATAATCACAAGCTTACTGTAATGCCAAACTTTTCCCTTCTTTTCAATCATCACTGTTGGTGTCATTTACTCCTCAGACCCAGTCAGAGAGCACCTTTCCTAAATGGCTTCCCAGCCCACCTTTCTCCCAGCAGTTGTTGGGCCTCCCCAAAATTATGTTACTGGAACGGAAAAAATGCCAGAAGGACTCCGTATCACATAGGAGATGAGGAATTGGAACTGATGTCTTCACTTTTGTAATAGCTCAAACACTAAATGGCTGGATTAAAGTTCAACTTTGTGAAATCTGGCATACAGAAAAAATGAGTGGTTAATATCGTTTCTTGTATTTTACAAGACATATACAGGAGCTTGCATGTTGCAACATACCATTTAAATGAAATGATTTATAAACTCAGTGGCAATACTAGCATTGTAAACATTTAAGTCAATATAAGCTATGATTATTCCGACACATTTTACACATCAAATTTTGTTTTCCTAAAACTAGGATTTAGAGGTCATACCACCATTTATAATCCATGAAAATGCAAGGTGCAGAACTGTCATTGAGTCTTTCACTCAATAATTGGCCCCATAATTGACATTCTGATATGTTGACCTATTTTTCTGACATCTTCCTTATTGTCCAGAACAGTAGTCGGTAAACTTATTAGTCAACAGAGCCAAATATCAACAGCACAATGATTTCTTTTGAGGGCCAAATTTTTTAAACTTAAACTTCTAATGCCACCTTTTCAAAACAGACTTGCCCAGGCCATGGTATTTTGTAGAAGAGCCACACTCAACGGGCCAAAGAGCAGCATGTGGCTCGTGAGCTGCAGTTTGCCAACCATGGGTCCAGAACATTATCCAAAAGTTTCTCTTTTCCTCATTACATCACTATGGAAGAACACATCTCATCATGTGGAGGACAGCAAAGCAACCCAAATGTACCACTGATTACAGATTGGCTTATGCTTTTATTTAGTGGAAGGGCTCTCAGTTTAGTTCTATAAAATAGAGACACATGATAAATATCAGTGAGGATATTTACATATCGAATCAGATATGGATTAACTTTCAACCCACAAGGTGGATTCCTGCCATCAAGTACTATAACTCTTTTTAGCTTAGGGCATGCTATATTACCGCTACTTTGGAGAATCTGAAGAGAAAATGCAAACTACTTAAGAAAACATTTCCCAAGGGGAAGTTGGTGAATATAAATATGATTTACAAACCACAAAACAAAGGTCAATAAAAGGCTAAATTTGTGTTTACATTTCAATTAAATATGGACCCAGAAATTCATTTTCCTGAGCACATTCAACTTGTAGTAATTTTCTTGCTCTCTCCATTACTGGTGTTTCACTTGAAGTGTTCTTTCCTTCTACCTCCTTGTAACACAGAGTTTATATTTAAGAAATAGCCAATGGAACAAAATGTTCACAAATAATCTACACTGTGAAGATAGCCCTGCCACCAAGAAGTTGAAAGCAGAACCCATTAATGTAATGGTTAAGGCAGTTTACGAATAATCAAGACTTGGTTATATTCCACTTCAAAAGTCCTTATATGTGATCTTAATTAGTATCCTAATTAGTATCTCACTTGTGATTATACAAAAGTTAATTGGCATTTTAAACAGAGACTAATGACAGGACTGATGATCCAGAAATGTGAAGAATTCAAAAAACAGTTGACAATGTCTGAACTGTTCTCTTCTCCCTCTTTCCCAAAAGCCAGCAAGTATAATGATAGACATAAAATTACTCTCTCAGTAGAATCAGTTAGATGCTAATGTACAGCAAATGCTATGATAACCAAAATCAACAGATATTTTAATGGAGCTAGAATGTCAGTTAAATGCTGCTTACAATAGTGGGACTAGGCTTAAAGGAGTGCCCATGGAAGGCCAGTTTGTGACAGTGAATCTGACATGGCAAATTGAATGCATTTTTTTTTAATCATTTTTATAAAGTAAATCTGTAAGTAGGAGATTATGACAAAGGGAAAAACATCCCAAACAATACCATTTTACCTAAGCGCTATATGATTCCAAGTGTTACTTAGTGTGACTACTACCACTGCATTATCTTACAGAAAGTAATACTGAGAACAGTCAGCAAACCATGTTCTACATTTCTAAGGCTCAATAAACAGACTCAAAAGAATAAAATATTTTTAAAGGAACTAAACTTTTGCTCAGATAATTAATTCATCTTTGTAACTGGCCTAATCAAAATAGGATTAAGAAAATAAAATGGGGGAGCAATGGGAAAGAGACACATCACATTCATTCAAAAATAATTACTTAGATTGTAGCAATGCTCTCCACTGATACAATAACTAAGAGCTCCTACGTACATATCAGTTTACAAAGCAGGTTAACATTAGATTTAGCAAGTTAAGTAGACTTTAACACACGTAGAACAAAGCAAACTATGTATCAAACCACATTTAAAATTATATGCCTATAATGTTTTAAAACATTTGAAATAAAGCTTTCCTTTCGTATTGTAACTAAAGATTAAGAAAATTCCCCAGGAATGAGAGGTTTTCCTTTGTGAAGTAATTTTTAGGGAATAAAAGTATTATAACTACAATGACTTCAAGACTTTCAACTTAGAATGCACATTTTTAAAAGCACTTATCATTATAGGTTAAAATAAGCTTTTAACTTAATCTATACAAACTTATACTGTCTTATCCTGTTAACAGCATTCCCTTGCAATGAATAATTTCTAAAAGTTATAATAAAAAAAAAATCACCTGGCTTTTAAAAATAGGTATGAAATCCAAAATGATGTCTGGCCATCAATTACCTCCTATATTTATAAGAGAACTGCAGACACCAAGAGTAAATAATGTATTTTTGTATAAGGAATAAAATGTTCACTTAAAATAAAAAGTATTGATTGCTGTCATCTTACTGCCATCAAAAGAATGTCTTATATTTGATGTAATTCTGACCATCAAAAAAGAATGGTTATAGTTGACGGAATTCTGACCATTCATAAAAGGGTATACATTTTAGAGCTTGCTACTGCATTCATCCTTATCCCTGGTAATGCTGTTAGGTGCTCCAAAATGTTAAATCAGAAGCTATCACATGAAGCCTCAGTAAGAAAGGTTATTTTAACTCAGCTAATGGGATAGGAAGCTGAATAGGCTACTAAGCATGGTATGATGAAACCTGAAGAAATAGCTCTGGCTTCCTAGATACATATAAACATAGATGCTCCTCTGTATTTACGACTTCCCACCTTAATTTAAAAAGTTGCAAACTATGCAGCTTTACATTTTTATTTTGAATTGGTTCACTTTTAAGCCTTACCACTTCAAAATAAAACCTTAACTTTGAGTCAAGCTGTTAGATTTTCTTTTTGTGTCAAGAGCTAACTTTGATGTATTAAAACTAAGTAAAATCCATTTACTCAAAACAGGCATTTAAAAAAAAATGCTTTCTTGTATCTAAAAAATATAAAAACAATGCAAAGTGAATTATACCAAAGGTGTACAATAGATGTAACAGATAGGACAAGTCACAATGGAACCGAAATACTTGATCAAAGGGCAAGAAATGGAAATGTATTTGCCAATAGAAAAGGACTGGTAACAGACAGAGATTTTTCAATTAACATAAAGCTATGACAGCCCCCTCTCATTTTGTTTATATTATTATTTTAGATAACATGTAAGGCACAGGCATTCTTCAGAAACTCCTATTAACAAACAGGTAACCTACTATTGCTCTGGGTAACAATCTATCACCACAGTTCGTAAGCCCAGACTTGAAAACTTCTCACTCAACAGGTGATGAGATCTGCTCCCCGCTTCACTTTCGATCTGTATCTTTTGAACTATACCTGCAATCTTTATGGCTACAGGATCCTCTGAAACTGGAACAAGCCCTTCCTTGATTTCAGCCTGCTTTTCAGAGACCAGGGGAGATGTGGCAGGAAGGGAATACTTAGTTTCCACAGAAGCCACAGGTGAGGAGGAAGAGGGCTGAGAATCATGGAAAAGACTGGCCCATGACTTAGGTTGACTGACAGGAGTGGTGCCCACCACAGAGGCCAGGGCCTCGGTGGGAGGGGAAGTGCTCTCGGCCTTAGCTGGGTCCGAGTCCGTGCTTTCCACAGTGTGCAACTCCATCCCGTTGGCAGCTGAGCCCTCACCCAAGGATTCAAGTATTTGTCCATTAGTAACGCCAAGGTTTTCAGTAGTATCAGTCCCAACATAAGGGTGAGCCACAGCTGTCCTCAACAGGCTGTCCCTGTCAGCCTCTGCAGGAAGGCAGGACTGTTCAAAGTCAGGCCCCTGGCAGCCCTCAGGTTGCCCTTCAGTCCTAGCATCGCTGTCCAGGGCCCTAGGGAAAGAACCTCCAGGCACAGCACCACTGACAAAGTCTGTGGAGTCCTGAGGGCTGCTACAAGTCCTGGGTGTTCTCAGCAAGGGCATACTGCTCATCAACTCTACATCCTCTGTGCACATTCTGTTCAGGATGGTTAAACTGGCATGGCCATTGACCAGGGCTTCCGTGGAAATATTACCCTCGCAGCCATCTTTCAAGTAACTATAATATCCAGGTGGACGTTTTTTCTTCTTTTTCCGCTCCCTTTGTCCAAGACCACCCGAGGTGCCATCGTTTTCCAAAACTTCTGCTTCTGCGTTGGAACTGCCATCCAGATCAAGGGCAGAGCCTGGGTACTGGCAGTCAATGGAGCTGTAGTCGGCTTCTTTATCTATGTCATCAGGGGTCTTTTTGGAAGTTGTGCAACTAAGAATAAATTCAGGGGCCTGAGGGTTCAATGTGCTTGAAATACTGTAGTTGGGAGTTCTCTGCAAAGTGTCATTGGATTCAATTACTTCGTTAACACCAAACTCAATTCTCTGATATTCTTGTCCTATTTAGAAAGAAAAGAGTCAGTAAACATCCCATTAGTTAAGGGGGAGGGGGCAGGAGAGAAACATTGATGAGTTGCCTCCTGTACATGTTCTGGCTGAGGATGGAACCACAACCTAGGTATGCGCCCTGACTGGGAACCAAGCCCACAACCTTTTAGTATACAGGATGACGCTCCAACCAACTAAGCCCCCTGACCAGGGCAACAGTTCCTTTTCTTACCCAGGAATTCTCAGCATGGACACTGCACTGCAAGGCAGAGAGGTTAGACAAGGCCCTGTCAAATTGAAAGACTGGAAGAAGTCCTACAAACTAATTCTTTGAACAATCCAGTCAATATAATGGGTACATGGGAACTCAATGCTCAGGTCAGGAATGCCATGGATTGTTGGGAGAAGGAAACCCAGCTCAAAGAAAACAATTACATCCTCACATGGTATTTCTCGAAGTCTGATCACTGCAGCATTCGCAGTGAAGCCTCTGATCTCTAGCGTATGCCACTGTGAAGATGGTGGGACCGTTAACTGAACTAGAGACAGAGGTATAGCACGAAAGGAAAATAATGAAACCATTTAAAGCAACAAATAAACATCTGCAGCTTGATCACTATATGAAAAGTATATAGTCACAGAGAAATCCAACTGAAACAGGTTAAAAACACTGCTCCAGAGGCTGGGCAGCAGAGCAAGGGCCTTTGGGTCCCTGTAGCTTCATTTATTTTATTCTCAACCTAAGGCATCATTAGAACTGCTCTTTCCCTCATGATTTCCTGTATCACTGTTTCTTATAAAATTGCTGATAATTTTAGATATAACCACTTTCTGATTTTACTATAAAGAGTTTACATAGCCTTTTCAATGTTTACATTTAAACCTAAATTATAATTAAAACTCCTTTCACTGGTCTGATCTTGTTAACAAAACGGGGAACAAAAGAAAAGGTTTAGCTTTCAGCTTCCTTAAGGTCAGCCAGAGTCTTTGATGTGAACCAAACTGAAAAATGGTCTAGACAAATTTGACCTGTGAATGGTAGCCTGCAATAAGGGCTCTGCTGTTATTTAAACACCAGGCACGTAATACAAAATCGCTACATCTCAAATAGCACCATCTTCAGAATCAGTTCATTGTCTATTACAGAGATCAAAAACATGTAACAAAACACACACACACACACACACACACACACACACACAAAAAAAACACACACTAACAAGCCAGAAGGTAAAGAGGTTACCTGAATTTCCAAGAACATTCTGAACAGACAGGGTCATAAATGTAAAACTACAGGAACAGATTCAAACTGCCCCTGAGCCACACCCAGAGCACATGCTCAGAGATCTGCCAGCTCGGGGCCCAGCAGCCTGTACCCAGACTGAAAGAACTCTGACAAAAAGCACTGGTTATGATGAATTGCTAATGAAAAAAAGAGAACTGAACAACTACTTCCTTAACTAAACCTTGAATGTCTGACACTATGAAGCATAGAATAAAATTAAAAGTCACTAGTCAAAGTGGTTCAGTGATTAAATCTACTACAGTTTATAGCCAAAACATCAAGCTATAAGGAAATGTTTATTCAAAAAGCATGAACAGAGGAAAACCCTGTTTCCAGGTGACATGCCGGCTGAGCACATATTATGGCCAGAATCCATCCACACGGGGAAAATAAAGGAGAACAAGCTTACCATCGGGTAGTTCATCTGCAGCCTGTGTGCCACACAGAACTGATCCATTGTATGGAGGAAGCTGCATGGGGAATCAAAATAATTTTAATTCAACAAAATGTTAAAACCCAACACATGCTACTTCATTAAAACTTTTTATCCATGTAACTTTTCATGTAATTTTTACCAAAATAATACACATGGAAAGACAGTAAAAGTAAATCATCTTCATTTAAGAAAAAGATATCATAGGAATAATTTAAAATATTTGTTATTAAATAGATCCAAAAATGAGGCAAAAAGAAAGCCCACAAAACTCCAATTAACAAGTAAATTGTTTCAATGAAATGCTTATAATATATCCTTTGTTTCACAGGATGTTAATGACTGTCCATAAATACCACTGCCACTTATCTTTGTCCACTGGTAAAGATGACTTAGTGACAGTCAGCACTTCGTGGGTGCTATCACTAGATGTAAGCACCGCAGCCTATGGGTAGAGGATAGAGACAGCCCCACTGGGAAAGAAAAGTCTGTGAATTGTGGCTTCCTTTTTAGTACAATGCTTTTAAATAACCAAATTAATAGCTAGAAATCACATTCCTTGTTTGGAAAAGATCATGCAAAATGGCAAGTGTCTGTAGAAAGGTATTATAAATACACCAAATTTTTCTCCTTCCCAGCTATTCCATAGTATCTAAGAGCTGAAAATGTTTCAAATGCGTATGTTTGAGATAAGAAAGTTTAGATGGCAAAGGAAGTAGATGAATAACTATTCCGGAAGGCAGAACAAAAGAACAAAAATCACAATGCTTCTCAAACTCTGCTTGCTGCAGCCCTGGCAGTACAATGGCCCCACGTGTCTGCAATACTCAGAGGCGCCCAGGTGATGCCCATGCCCACTACTGCTGAGAACTACTGCTTAAGTGGTTTCCTCAATTGATTTCTCCAACTAACTCTTAGGAAGTCAAGTCAATAATCAGAGATAAAAGCTTATCGCTCCAAGTAACTGAGTAAGTTCTCTCCCCAGAGAATTAATGACAAATAAGAAGCTAAGAAAATGCAGTGTTATTCAAAAGCAAATGACTGCTTCCAGGATTTAAAAACTGCATGTATTTCCACCATGCAGGGGCACCCCAGTAATCTTCACACTGACACAAAAGAAAAAAGCATTCTGTACCCAGAGATGTGCTACACTGGCTTTGTACCTGAAGTGCAAAGACCATTCATTCCACACACCATTCAAACACTCGCACCAAATGCTCTAGCATTTACTGCTGGCGCGAACATTAAGGAGCAGAAAGGTGCATGTGAAGAAACCACGAATAGGGGTCATGTTCCTCTGCAGCCACAAAAGTTGTTTAACAGAATCCCAGACACAGAATGCCTTCCTTTTTCTACCAACAACACTGGGGTGCCCCCTGGTGATAGAAATCGATACAATTTTAAGTCACTAGAACGTGTGTGTGTGTGTGTGTGTGTGTGTGTGTGTGTGTGTGTTTTTAATGTCCCTGTATTTCAGAATCTAGTTAAATGGTAGAAGCAGAATATGAAAAGCTATCGCCCCGCAGACTCCAGGGCATTACTGCCATTTCCTGTTAGTGTGTTTAGAACACTTCCTATATACACATCTGGTTAAGAGTGTAACTGTGGGAATTACTGAATGCTGGAATGAGTTCGGGGCCAGAAGTGTGTTTCTTTGTTTACTCTAGCGGCACATGGAACCTTTAATTCAACAAAACCTCCCCCACTCACAAGAAGTCCTTCAGTCTGTGGAAAATGGGTACCGTATTTTCCGGCATATAAGACGACCCCCTAATTTTACAGTTAAAACATAGGTTTAGGCCTATATTCGCTGTATAAGACTACCCCCCCACTTCCGAGGCAACACCAGTTCTTTTTTTTTTTTTTTTTAAATATATTTTATTGATTTTGTACAGATAGGAAGGGAGAGAAATAGAGAGTTAGAAACATCGATGAGAGTCATCAATCAGCTGCCTCTTGCACACCCCCTACTGGGGATATGCCCGCAACCAAGGTACATGCCCTTGACCGAAATCGAACCCAGGACCCTTCAGTCCCCAAGCCGACGCTCTATCCATTGAGCCAAACCGGTTTCGGCTACCAGTTCTTTTTTTAATAGACCGCCTCTCTGACTCTGGCCAATCTGAGCAGGCTTTTTATGCATGCAAATTATACATGTTCTGTACTCGAAGCTACACTGTGTTCTAGGCTTTTTACTAGAACACAGTGTAGCTTCGAGTACAGAACATGTATAATTTGCATGCATAAAAAGCCTGCTCAGATTGGCCAGAGTCAGAGAGGCGGTCTATTAAAAAAAAGAACTGGCGTTGCCTCGGAAGTGGGGGGGTAGTCTTATACAGCGAATATAGGCCTGAACCTATGTTTTAACTGTAAAATTAGGGGGTCGTCTTATACGCCGGAAAATACGGTATAATGCACAGCAGGAACAGCCCTGGCCAGTTTGGCTCAGTGGATAGAGCATTGGCCTGCAGACTGAAGGGTCCCAAGTTCGATTCTGGGCAAGGGCACATGCTCAGGTTGTGGGCTCAATCCCCAGCAGGGGGCATACAGGATGCAGCTGACCGATGATCTCTCTCCCCCTTTCCCTTCCTCTCTGAAATTAATAAAAACATATTTTAAAAATACAAAGCAGAATAAACTGTAATAATTGTTTGTTTAAAGTTCCCTCTTTATATAGCTATTTATAAGAAAACAAAATATAAAAACCAAAGAGCATAAAATCTCACACACAAAAATAAAGTGAGCAATGTGCAAAACCAAAATCTAGTTATATTAGATACAATCAAATCACCTTAGAAGACAGGACTTGGGACCTTTGATAAGGTAATGTTTTAAAATATTTTTGGTGCTGCCACCATTTGTTCTGCTGTCTAAAAGACCCTCAGAAACCCTAAGTCTCTCCTCTGAAATATTAAGACACCAAACCACTGAGAATAACTCTTAATTCTAACATTCCACCCACACACACATGCATGTGCTGTGCACCTACAGCCTACCCAATGCTATCATGGGCTTGTTATTCAGTAGCTGGTTGAGGTCTATGTGCTGTCTCTAATGATGAGTGTCGGAAGTTTCAAGAAGAATTAGCATCCTATCCCTATTTTGAACACCAATAACATGATTATGACTGGGGTTCATAGCATAGTTATTCATAAGCTGAATAAATGGAGAAATATATCATAATCATGTTTAGGGAAATTATCATAAATATGTTAATTCTCCTACAAATTCATCCACAACTTTAACACAATTACAACTGAAATTTCAATAGAATTTTTCATGGAATTTGAGGTGCTGATCATAAATTCCTAAGGAAGAGTTAAAAATGAAAGAACGCCAAAATAACTTGTAATTATAAGAAGGTGTATGCCTTGCTGAAAGACTGTCAAGGTTCAGCAATTAAAACATATAGTACTGAGACAAAGCAAAAGGCCAACAGAAGAGGAGACCCGGAATCAACCTAGCATATGTGGAGATGTGGTACTACATCTAAAGGCCAAGTTCTAGGTAATGGTGCTGAGACCACTTCTATTGCCATATTAGATTCCCCACCTCACACACACACAAAAATCAATGCCTCAATTTAAGTTGTACTACATGCTAAAGTAAAAACAAAAACCTTAAGAGTTTAGAAGAAAACAAGTGTCTTTATTATCTTAAGGAAAAAATTTCTTTAAAGATATTCTTTTGAAAACCTAAAATCTATAAACCATGAGGAAAAAAGTCAATATATAAGACATTAAAGTGAAAAGTGTGCTCTCTTTACCCAGGGGGGGGAAAAAATGCATCATATATGAAGTTTAAAAGCCCTCATGCTAGGAGATACCTGTAACATGCAGAACTAAGATTATTAATGCTGTAAGTCAATAAGAAAAAGAAAAAACACTTGATAAAAATATACCGACAAGAGATAGACATCGGGTAATTCACAGAAGTAAAAATATATCAATAGACATGAAAATAATAAAAAGCGCTCAACTATTTGTAATCTGGGAAATGTAAATTAAAACAATGACAACCTATTTATAATCCATCAAATTAAAATCTACTAACAAAAATCTTAAATATGCCTATACTGAGAATTAGCCAAGATTTTTTTGTTTTTAAATGAGATAGAGAAAAGTCTCATGCACTGCTGATGTTAAATTTAAAACCACTGAGCCCTGGCCAGCATTCCTTAGTGGTTAGTGTCAGCCTGTGCACAGAAGAGTCGCAGGTTCAATTCCTGGTCAAGGCCACCTAGGTTTCGGTTCACCCCAGCCTCTGTCAGAGAGCCCCTGTGGCAGGCAACCAATCGATATATCTCTCTTACATTAATGTTTCTCTCTCTTTCTACCCTACCTCATTCCCCTTCTACTCTCTGAAAAATCAATGGGGGGGGGGGGGGGGGGGTGCACGAGATCCTCGAATGAGGATTAAAAACAAAAACAAAAAACCACTTAGCAGATAAGCAGTCCCTAGTAATACTAAAGATGTTTATCACTTGCACAACCCAGCAGTGTCATTCCCAGAATATATGCTGGAGTAACCTAGAGGAGCATGAAAGACATGACAAATATGGTTATTACAACATTTTTGTAATAGTGAGAAGACCTAAAGACCTAAATGGTCCTCAACAAGAAGAACTATGATGTGTTCAATTTATGCTATTTAGTAATTAAAATGAAAGAACAAGAACAAAATGCATCAGTATAGATAAATCTAAAGAACATTAGCTTAAAATAAACAAACTATAAAATGATGAATATAGTATGAAACATTTATATGACATTTCATATAAAACAATACAATGCACTATCTGTTGATAACATGCACATGTAATAAATGGTTAAAAAAACCACAGTCAGAAAACAATACGTATCAATTTCAGCAGAATCTGGGAATAGGGGACTAAGATGAAAGAGGGGTATAATGAAGTTTCAACTGTTATCTGTAATGTTTTGCCATTTATAAATATAGTTAAATGTTAATGCAGGGTGTCCCAAAAAAATGGATACACATTTTAACACCTGATTCTATTACATTTTTAAAATGCAATTTATTTTAATAAACATTGCCTTTATCATTATTCAAAGTGTGTATACTAGTTTGTTTGTTTGTTTTTTGGTTGGTGGATTCAGGCATTTCTCATATTAGTTCCTGAACTTTTCTGTATCCTGGAATTCCTTATCAAAAAAGCATAAATTAAAAAATCAAAACTAGCCGGGACCAGTTTGGCTCAGTGGATAGAGCATCGGCCTGCGGACTGAAAGGTCCCGGGTTCAATTCCGGGCAAGGGCATGTGCCTTGGTTGCGGGCACATCCCCAGTAGGGGGTGTGCAAGAGGCAGCTGATGAATGATTCTCTCTCATCGATATTTCTAACTCTCTATCTCTCTCTTCCTCTCTGTGAAAAATCAATAAAATATATTTTTTTTAAAAAATCAAAACTAAAACATAACCATTAACTACATCTACACATATACTCAATAAAATAAAGTTTTGTCTTACCTCAACTGAAGATCGAGGAGTCACAAAGAATTGATTGAATTCATCAGGGCTAAAATCTCCAAAAATATACTGAAGGAAAAGAGAGAGAGAGAGAGAAAGGAAAGAGAGGGAGAGAATTACTGATCACATAAACTATAAAAATTATTTACTTTCATATATTAAAACAATTCTATGATATATTCAGGCTAGAATGCCCAAGATCCTTCCTTCATTAAATCAAAAGTCTATAAAGTGAGATTTCTAGGTGTCCTATTTTTCCAATTACAAACAAGAAAATACTACTTAGCCTTTTCTACAAAGCTGTCAAAGAAAACTCTGAAATGGTTAATGCTTATTTTGAAACAGGTCAGTTTTGTACACCAAACTTATAAGCAGAGTCCTGCTTGCAGGACAATTTTTTGATTCACAAACATTTCCAGTTGGAATTCTATTTACCTTTCTGCTGACTCATGTTACCACTTCCATTTTATTTCTTTCTGCCATACATACTAAAGAAAAGCAGAAAATGTGGTTCAAATGGGATAAAAAAAAAAAAAAAAAAAAGGAACGTACTAATGATCTAAATGATTTTTTAAAATACGAGTATGCATGCAATTTTTATCTTTAAAAATCTACTGACACTTGATGCACAGATAAACATTACTTGACAAACACAAACCTAATTATGTAACCTCACAGCATAGAATTCAGAATGTGACTTTCTGGAAAAATAAATGGTTTAAAAAGAAGAAAAAAAGAAAAGAAACACACACAAAGGAAAAAAAATGGTTAAACTGCATGGAAGCAAGTTTAACAAATGTATGGCAATTCATTCTCTCCCTGGAGCTCCAAGAAATAAGTCACTAATAAGAATAAATGTGACTGGATTTCTACAAAAGACCATCACTCACTGATTACTCATTCATTTAACTGAAAACTAACACCTACTAAGTGCTTTGCACCATAATCAGTACTAGGAATAAAAATGATAAAAACAGATCCTCTGCTATAATAAAGCTGACAATCTAATAACTTACAGGGAAATTTACAAGCATGTGATTCAAAAATAACCAGTAATCAAGTGTTATATAAATGGATATTACCCATTATTGTTGTGAATGTGAATAAATAACCTCACAGCCTATTGATAAGAATGCATTGATATTCTGGGGGAAACATTTCTGGATGGCTCTCTTGCAGTAGCTACCAAAACTGTAAATACATATTTTAAAAAAACAAAAACATCTTGACATAATGATTTACATATACATACAAAAGTCCACAAAAACATCCAGGGAGTGGGTTTTAAGAAGCATGACCTTTGGTCACTCAAACAGATCCAGAAATTTGCCATGAAAACTGTCAAGGAAAACCTTTATCTCTTTATTTATGCAAGCATGAAACATTCTCTTTCCTTTAGAGGATTTTTTAAAGTTGATTTTTAGGGGGAAAATATTGTTTGGGTAAAAAAAAAAAAATGAAAATGATTCTGTGTCTGATTTTACAGGATTTATAATCAGTGGGGAAGAAAATGCCACTGACCACATAAATCAGTTTGTCCGGTAAGAGCAGGGTGAGTTAAAACATAGGACAATTGCCGAAACCGGTTTGGCTCAGTGGATAGAGAGTCAGCCTGCAGACTAAAAGGTCCCGGGTTCGATTCCGGTCAAGGGTATGTACCTTGGTTTCGGGCACATTCCCAGTAGGGGGTGTGCAAGAGGCAGCTGATCGATGATTCTCTCTCAATGTTTCTAACTCTCTATCCCTCTCTCTTCGTCTCTGTAAAAATTCAATAAAAAAATATATATTAAAAAACAAACAAACATAGGACAATTAAGTTTGCCTAAACTAAACAGGAGGAACAAATAAGTGCATTTCCAAAGCCTGGTGCAGGGCTTAGCACACACTAGCACAGATGCTCAACAAATGGGTGCTGTATGAAACAATAGGAAGTGCCTGAAGCTCCTATGTTGGTCACACCACATTACAGGAATGCTCCTCTTCTAATAGCTGCAAGGCAAAACTAAAAATTGATCTAGATTTCAAGCAATTCCCACCAGAAGTAGGTGAATAATGGGAGTCATGAATGCTACATCAAGTGTTCGTTTCCCGGAGGGAGGATCCAAGATGGCTGCAAGGTAAACACCTAACCACAGCAGCACACAACAATTTCAATAAAATACAACTAAAATATAAAATGGACATTACCCAGAACTACAGGAAAGTCAACTGACTGGAAATTCTACAACGAGAAGCAAGGAGAAAACCAGAAGGAAGAGCGGAGGAGCTGTAAAAGCCTAAGCTACGGAGACACGCGGCGCACACGGAGAGGACGGAGCCGGAGAGGAGGGGCGACTGAGTGCCTGGCTGGCGTTCCCTAGCAGGAAGGAGATAAAAGCTCCGACTGTGCTGGGCCCCAGTTCCGACTGCTCTGAACCCCAGTTCTAGGCCAGACCCCGGGGACCCAGGCTCAAACAGAGGGAGCTGGGCTGTAAGGCGGAACCCCGGGGGAGCGGCAAAGGAGGTCCGGAGGCACATATATTGCGCGCAGAGAAGGGATGGTTGGCTGTGCCGCGGGATTGCCCTGGTGGGAGGAGACAAAAGCTCCGGACTGCTCTGAATGTCACCTCCAACTCCACTTCCAACTGAACTGAACCCCAGTTCCGGGCTCATTGGGAGAGAGCCTAGACTGTTTGGTAGCAGGCGAAAATCAAGGGCACCTTTCTCTCAGAGGTGCTTGCAATGAGTACTGAAGGACCCTGGGGATTACTGAGACTCAGGAGCTGCATAGGGTGGGGCTGACTGAAGCCAAGGCTGTAGGCTCCACCCTGAAACCCCGCCCCATCAGGGAAGCTGCGAAAATGCCAAGACAACGAAATAGATCACAAATGAAAGAAATGGAGGACAAAAAGCAACTGGATATAGAGTTCAAATCTGTGCTTATAAGGTTTTTCAAGAATTTCCTAGAAAAGGTCGATAAGACCTATGAGGATATGAAAAGGAATCAACTAGAATTAATAAGGAATCAATAAGAAACAATAAGGGATCAATAAGAAATGATAAGGGATCAATAAGAAATAAAGAATACATTGTCTGAAATAAAAAATATTATACAAAGTCCTAAAAGCAGAATGGAAGATCGCAAGAATCAAGTCAAAGATTTGGAACATAAAGAGCCAGAGCCAGAAGACACTCCTCCACAGAAGCAAGAAGGCAAGAGAATCCAGAAAGTTGAAGATAATGTAAGAAAACTCTGGGACAACTTCAAGCAAACCAACATCAGAATTATGGGGGTCCCAGAAGATAAGAGAGAGCAAGATATCGAAAACATACTGAAAGAAATAGTGACAGAAAACTTCCCCCACCTGGTGAAAGAATCAGACTTACAAGTCCAGGAAGCACACAGAACTCCAAACAAAAGGAATCCAAAGAGGACCACACCAAGACAAATCATAATTAAAATTCCAAGAGCAAAAGACAGAGAGAATATTAAAAGCAGCAAGAGCAAAGCAGGTAGTTACCTAAAAGGAGCACCTATACGATTGTCAGCTGATTTCTCAACAGAAACCATGCAGGCCAGACGGGAATGGCAAGCAATATTCAAGGTGATGAATAGTAAGAACCTACAGCCAAAAATAATCTACCCAGCAAATCTATCACTCAGAATTGAAGGCCAGATAAAGAGCTTCACCAATAAAAAAAAGCTAAAGGAGTTCATCACCACCAAACCAGAATTATATGAATTGCTGAAGGGGGTTCTTTTGGAAGAGAAAGTAAGTAAAGATAAAAACTATGAACAACAAATAAGTAACTATCAACAAGTGAATCTAAAAACCAAAAAATTTTTTTAAAAATCTGATGAACAATATTAATCAGAGGTATGGAAGGGGAGTGAACTGACAATTCTTGGGGAAAAGGGGAGAGAGGGATATGGGAAGAGACTTAACATAAACTGTGCACCTATGGATGAGGACAATGATGGGTGGGGAAAGGGCAGAGGGTGGGGTGGGAACCTGGTGGAGGGGAGCAACGGGGGGAGGGGGGGGCAGAGGAACATCTGTAATAATATGAAAAATAAAGATTTTTAAAAAATTAAATTAAATTAAATTTTTTTAAAAAAAGTGTTCATTTCCCAACTGCCATGACGCCCACCAGAAAGGAGAACACACCACTAGGCTGTCCAGCCTCTCCATGCCCCTTAAGGAAGTGAGCCTAGGAGGCAGAGTAACTCTTCTCCCCACTCCACCACCCCTCAAAAGGAAGAAAGCTCCGTTTCCCTCACATTCACCTGACCCCAGCTCAGGCTTACAGAACTCCCACTGTTCTCATGTCTTATTATGTACTAGTATACTTATTTAAATAAATGAATTCCATTATATGTGAGTTATATCTCAAAATAAATGAAGTAAAAAGTATCAGGTCAGTACTTGCATAAAAATAAACATTTTAACTTATTTACTAAATATTATTGATCACAGTCACATACTTGATGGGTACTAACTGGTAGCTATTAAACAGTCACAAGGCACTTTCAATTTGGAAAGCTATGTGGGTGGTTTTGAGGGCATCTGGGGATGTCATTGTTTAAACAGTCAGAGCACAGCAGGAATTTTGTTGATTTAACAATGTGTATTGAGCACCAACTATCCACAGTGAAATGTACTCAATTATGAGAATAAACTTTGAATTAGACAAACACAGGATTCAGGACAGTGATTTAGTTTTGTAATAGTGCAAGTAAGTGTACTGCAAGTTGCAATGAGTGTTACAAATGGGAAGGCAGAGAGAGAGGGAGGGAGGGAGGGAAGCAGGGAGGGGAAGAAAGAGAAAGAGACACAAGAAAGAGGGAGGCAGAGAAAGGCTTATTCCTCAACCAACTGGGTAGTAGTAGAATTCTGCTTTACTTTCCTGGGGCAGAGAAGTCCCGAAAATGGATAAGTTGTGTAATGAAGTCACATCCACAGACAGCAACCCTCCTTAGGATTCAAATGTCAAAGTACTATAATTTAGTGTCCGTTTCACATGGTTTGTGTATTTTATTCTATTAAAGTCCCATCAGGAGATATCCTTAAAGTCCTATCAGAAGATAT